CATGGCTGGCTGGGGAATTCTGGGAGTTGAAGTCCACACATCTTAAAGTGGCTAAGGTTGAAGAACACTGAAAAGCAGGAGAAAATCTTTTTTTTTTTTTTCACATAGAGCAAGAAAAACATGTGAAGGTGATGATTCCCATCCTTGGTTGCCCTTCTCCATGTTATCGTTTTCAGATGAGTTGGCTTTTGACTCCCATAGCTCCCAGCTAGCATGGTCTTTCATTGTGCTGGCTGTGAATTATGTTAAAGGCTAACACAGCTAGAGGGCATGGGGCTGGGAAAGGCTAATATAAGGACTACTGTTGTCCTGCTTTTTAATTGTCCAGAGATATGAGAACATTTATCCTATATCTGTTCCATTAGGACAGCTTTCACTGGCCATACTCACGGAGGATGATTGGAACTGTGGGTAAACAGAGCAGAGCACCATGTTCAGAAAGCTGCTTTAAATTCTTGGATGCTCAGTCTTGGGGAGGAAACTAAGATCAATGACAGATGTCCTTCCTCATTTTTGTCCCACAGTGTCTTCTGCATGTCTCAGTGATACCCCTGAACTAGGATTCACAGCACCTATGACTGACAGCATCCAGCAGACACACTTGGAGGAGCCAAGCATGACTGGGAGACTCTATCAAAGAAAGTCTGAAGAATCCAGCTGGATGGGGGTTGCGCAGGAAGATGTGGTAGAGGAGGTGGCAGATGCAATATGTAGTCAGTATTGGGAGCCAGATGAACTTTTGGCAGAAAGAAGAGAACTTGGGCAAATGGAAGAGGCAGGAAAGACAAGGATGGGTCAGAAAACAGGGCAAGACACATCTGTATTATCTGAGGGGACTAAGCAAGGAGCACCAAATTGGTCAGCATTTGTAGGAGAACAAAAAAGAGGGCCTGAAGGGGCAGAGTGGACTGGGGAAATTCTTCAAGGTGGCTTGGAAGAGATGGTCAAGATTATGGGTAATCAACAATTAGAGTTTGAGAATGAACAGAAAGAAGCAGAGTTGGGTGAGGAAGAGCAGGAAGAGATAAATACTGCAGTGCTAGACAGAGCAGAGGGTGAGGGAGATCAGGTCGCTGTGCTTGAAGTGGAAAGAAAGGCTAGGAAAAGCCAGCGGTGGGAAGAAGAGGCAGAAAAAATCACAGAAGACCAGGAAAGTGAGCTGGAAAATATGTTGTGGAATGAGGGAGTTCAACAAAAGCTATTAGACTGGGCACAGTGTAGAGGGGAAAAGCAGAGAGGACAAGAAGATGCAACGTGGACTGGAGGGGCTCAACAAGATGGGTTGGAGGAGATGTCCAAGATGGCAAGGGACCAGCAGTTGGAGGTTGAGAAGGAACAGGAAGAAGATACAAAAGTGGATGTGAACCAGCAGGTAAAAACAGATGTGACAGCAGAAGCTGAAGGAGACCAGGTGAAGATGCTCGAAGAGAAAGGAAAAGGTGAGAGAAGCTGGAATTTGGAAGAATGGATAGGAGGAACTGAAGAGGGGAAGGACAGTAAACTGGATGAAAAGGAAAGAGGACTAGAGGGAATCACATGGACAGAGACACTTCAGTATGATGAACTAAATGTTAAAATAGTGAAAACCCAGCAGTTGGACTCTGGGGAGGAACAGGGAGAAGGCATAGAGATGGAAACAGACCAGCAGGTAAAGAGAGAGATAGCAGCAAAGAAGGAACCACTACTGGACAAGGCAGAGATGGAAGCAAGCCAGAAGGAGGTGTTAGAAGGGGAAGAAAAGGAGATACATTTTCACTGGGAGCCAAAAGAAACTGTGATTATGACAGAACAGAAAGGAGAGGCACCAGGATTGGAAGAGAGGGGGAATGGTCAGCAGGGAGACTTACCTGATAAAGGAAAGACAGAAGAGGATCTGCAGCAGGAAGTAGAGGAATCTGTGAAAAATGAGACACAGGCTACAGGGGAAAAACAGGAACAGCAAACAAGAGAAGAATGGTGGGAAATTGACCAGGAAGAACAGCCTGAGAGATTGGCAGATACTAGTGGTCTTAGTGAAGAAATGCTGGAAATGGCTGAGACTACAGAGGGCCAGTCAAGTCATCTGGGAGAGACCACAGAGAACCTGGTATACACAGCCTCTGTTGATACAGACCTCCTGGCTGGGCCCAGAGCTTTTCCAGATTGTGTAAGCATAATTAAGAAGGAAAGTGGAGCATGAAAGTAGTCAGGAGACTGAAGTAATCTTATCCATCTCTGTTCTGCAGGTCACAACATTGAATAGCAGTGTCCAGAAGGAACGGGTGTTGCTACGTCGTAAGAGCTCCATTCGACGAGCACCCAGCTTGAAGAAATCAAAACCATCAACAGAGGCTCCAACACAAGAGACAAATATAGCTGAAGATGCTCCATCACTGTTGGAAGTGCCAAAGAGACAAAACCCAAGATTTTCTGGGTAAATAGGAATATCTTATCACATCCAATAGTAACTGAAAAGTGGATATTAGTGTTGTCTTCTTAAATTTTGTTTTAATCTACCCATTTATTTTGCTTTCCCAGGGTTGGGCCTATGCACCCCAATATGATGGCTGAACTTCAAATGCGCCTGGCCAAGCCAAAGTGACCTGAGGCTCAAAGAGCTTTATCAAGTAATGAACTTGCACAGTTTTCGCTCTACCCTGGATCAAGGCACCATGACCAGTAATTTTGAAAGCAATGAGGCACCATCTCTATTTTCTCTAGAAACTGAGTAAATTAGATGTCTATTCTAGATTAAATAGTTAGTGAGGACACAACGTGTATAGCCTGAATAGAAAATCCGAGAAATACTTGCTGCGATGTCTCAACAGATCTGATATCTTTATCTCACCTGAAATGGTGAACTCCATTTCATGGCTCTTTCATTCTATTCATGTCATACTTTGATATTCATATCAAAGATACAATCAACCCTGGGGATGGCTGGCATCTTGATGATGCTCTCTGAGTTTATTAACACCTAATTAACATCTGCCTCTTGGAAGTATTATAAAGGAAGTTTGTTTTTAGTATATTTTAATTAACTAATTAATATTGATCTATTTTAATTAATGTTTTATTCTATTTTTACTGTAAACCGCCCAGAGTCACTCCATAGTGAGGTGGGCAGTGGCAAATTTGAAATATAAATAAATAAATAAAAAGTACTCTGAAGAAAAGTAATTAGATGGAAACCATGCCAAAGAAAGCTACCTAACAATTTTGGAAGGTTATCTTTAAATTCCACATTGTGGTCCATCCCCACCACTCTATCAATTTAATCTCATTCTTTATTTTACAAGATTCCAATGAAACTGAAACATATTGGAAGAGATTACTGTACACATTGAAGCCAAGAAGTGTGTGCTGATTAATGACTAATATTAATCATTAACTGGGCCACAATTACAGAGGAGAATTGGTAGTGGATGGGATGTGCTGTATTTAATCTTTTCTTCATCTGTCACAGTTATCCCGTATTTCCCCTTCCTCCACCTCTATCTCCTTACCCAGATTAGGATTTAGGCAGCAGATTGAAAAGATAACAAATGTTTGATTGATCTACTTTTACTTCCAGGAGAAGATAGAGATGCTTATAGAATTTTATTCCTGCAAGTTATCACCTAGATAACTTGGCCTAAGTGTGAATGTAATGGAATTCTGTGAAAATGGCTCCACCTGAGATAACTAAGAATCTTGGTTGGTCTTGCAATCATTTATTTCTCAAGCGTGGAAATGCTATTCTCAGGCCAATGGCTGCAGGACCACTTTCCTGGACCCAGATGAAGACATTTTTCTATTTTCAATCTTGGAAATGATAGCTTTATTTTTATTGTACCTATTTTATTCAAGTTTAATTGCTACTTTTAATTTTGTTTTCATTTCTTGTTCTCACTATAGGTTTTTATTTTTAATTGGTTTAAGAATAAACCAATTAATGTTGATGTTCTTAGTATTTAAGCTAAGTTGTTTTGTTATCTTTTATTGTAGTGCCTTGTTAACTTTGGCAGACAACTGGCCTCAAACTCTTAAATAAATCAGTAAAATGCAACTACTGGTGGTCAAACCATGTGCTTAAAATCTTATCAGTAGTTCCTCACAAGGAAATAATTAATGAGCTGTTTGTCACTTGCATGTAAGCATAGGACAAACAAATCCTAGCAATTTTTTTTCCCTGCTGCATCCTTTGATGCCTTCATTTCATCTCCAACCCATACCTGAAGCAGCCTGAAGTAATACTTAGCTGTTCCAATGTTAAAGTAGGTTTTCCCCCTTAAGTGGTCAATAGCCCATGGTAATTTTCAGATAAGTATAGTCAGGTGCTCTTCATCAGCCATTCTGGTGGTGGTGGTGATTCTGGAGGTGGGATTGGGTTAGCATATATTGGCTATTTCAGGCTGGTGAGGTCGGTCCCCATATCCTATGATCCTTGTACAGTGTCCTCTAGAATCGTTCTAGTTTGGGCAGTGGGAAAGTCCAGCTCTTTCAAACTGTGTTTTTCCCCTTTAGCATTCACCTCTTTAATCAGAGACTGATGAATCTCCAGGTTGGGAGAGGTGCTGCTCCTTCATTAGCTTCCCAGAACTGGAGACCTATGGTGGCTTTGAAGGAACTGTGTCCTCCTTTTTACCTGAGGATTTATTTGAAAATTTTCATTTGAGGATTATTAATTAGAGAGTTGTTATTTAAATTTCCTACCTCAAATTTGAATCTAGCAGCTAATTTGAAGGCAAGATTAGATCCTAACAATGGAACTCTTTTTGAACATTTCAATAAGGTCAGTTTTAAAGATAACAAACCATATAAGTGTAGATCTCGGCACTGGAAGGACAAAGTCTACCGATTGTAGATAAGAGCTTATCACATTTTCCTGACTATGGGAGGGAGTTCTGAGAAGAGAAAGATAAAGCCTGAAGAAAGGGATCAAGAGGCCTTGGGAAAGGGAGTAGGGTTTCTGGGGCCAGAAAGAGAACCTCCACCAGGTGAATTCAGCCAGCAACTGGAGATTCCTTTTCCCCGATGAATATGGATTAAATAGGTGTAATGCAATGTTATGTACTTTTTAAATATATTGGCATCAGATTGCAGGATTAACTGCACACTGATTAATTATATGAACTGACAAACCCTCTTTTGATCAGCTAGAGATACCACCAATTAATCAGGCAGTCAAATTTTAACTAAAAATAATACTTTTATTAACATAATTGTTAAAAACATGAAATGGCCAGTTCAAGCTTAGAAAAGGCAGTTTCACTAAAAACATTTGTTTTATATAGCATGCATATTTACTCAGATCTGTTTTAGAAAACTGTCAGAACAGTTTCTACATAATCTACCACCTATCTGCCTGTAGATACCCTCAAGGTTCTCTGGCCCATTTGACTAAAAAGCCATTAAAAAAAATAATGGGGAGATGGTATACTGTAAAGCAAAGCACTAGTCACCCACATATTTATGGATAAACACAGAATATTTAAAATTTCCTGAAAGCTAGCTGCCAAATCTTTCTGACCTCTGAAAAGTATTTTACTTTGCTTTCTTCTTCTCTGTCACATTGTCATGAGTAAAGTGCATTCACTAAACAGTTGCTTATTGAACATGGTCAAAACACTGCTTTGACAAATAAGTTAAAATAATGCAAATACATATAAAATATTTAGAAAAAAATAAATAGATATATAAATTAGATATTTTAGATAATTTACAAAACAACATTCCTGGCAGTTTGGAATAGGGGGTAGGGACTAAGATAGGAAATGGTGAGATTGGAAAGTCCTGGAAAATGAAGTCCTTTTGGTCACCCTCATCCTGAGCATCAAAAAATCTCGTGCCATACGGACCAGGAGACTCTTAAGAGAATGAAGGACAATATATACTTCTTGGCGGTTCCTCCATTGGCTATGGTGTTGAAGGATCTGAGGAGTTGGTACAGGCTGGATTTTAGATGGCAGGCCCCAAAGTGAAATCTACAGGAAAAATGAAAAATGAGTAACACAGCCAAAAACAAAGGACACCTTTCCCTCATCTCTGCCTCCAAAAAACAGGTAAACCACCTGGTAATTCACTTGATGACCAAGATCTCGGAGGATATCATCAACATCTTCAAACTGAGAGGCAAATTTGGAATTTTCTTTCACTGCTTCAAAGTTCCTCAGTTGTTGCACCAATCCCTGATAAAGTGAAAGGTTCTCTGCTATCTGGGACAGGCGCTTGGCATCCTGGAGGGAAGAAAGTGTTAGAAGCCAAGCAAAACAAGGTCAGTCGCTGAAGTATTAAAGAATTATTGTCAAAAATGGGCAACTCTGGAATGCCTGCAAAATATTAGGGGAGTAATTCTGCTCCCTTACATCCATCCCAATAACATTAAAAATTGGAGACAAGAGGAACTTCACTGTAGGGAAAAAAAAAAAGGTTATTTGTGGTAGTTTACCATGCCCTGGCTGAAACTAGTTCCCTTAGTTCCATATCTACATTGCATGGTGGAAACGATTCACTAAGCAGTTTGTGATCCAAAAATTTTCACTCCAAGCAAAACTAGTCAATAGTAAAATAATTTACAACATAGGTGTCCATGACAAATCTAATAACATCAAAATGTTAACAAGTGCATCAAAACATTATTGTGCAAATGACCCAGTTGTAATTGTCTCATGTTGGATCTATTGCAAGTACAGTACATGTCACAACATTGGCACCAAAATGTGCATGTCTGCATTTGTCTTCCTTGCTCTCCCTGTGGAAGCCTATGGTTTACAAGAGTGCATTTATTAATACACAACAATAGTAATTGGAGAGTTCCAAAAGTTAGCTGGATACTGGTTAGTGGAGCTGTGATGTTGGCATTGGTATTATCCAATAAGCACCTACAATACTGATGCAGGCTAGTTGTGACTTCTGTAATATGTAAAAGGAAAACAAATTGTTTTAACCTTGATCATACACAATGTGCAGACCTTGCAAGCAACTTAAGAGAATGCAGCACTCTTAACTTACTTATTCTAGTATTGGAACTCATGTTCTCTGAGAGGTTACTTAGCATTTTTTGCTTAGTAATTTGCTAACCTATTAGCAAATTACATTTGTTAGCATTCTTAGGGGAGATCACAAGAGTGGATTTGATGGAAAAACAGTTTAAGTTATATAAGTTGGTGAACAGATATCGCCTTGTTTCCAGTTGTCATTATCTTATGGTATCCTATCTTCCTAACCAATTGAATCTATTATTTCTGTCTTCTAACCATCAAGTTGCCTATTGTTCATGTCACTCTAGATTACTTTTGCTTTGAGTCTGATGGATGATTACCAGTATGAGAGGACCTTTCAGTGATACTTCAGTTGCCTTCATTCAAATGTCTTCTACCAAATATGGTACCTTGGGAGCACCATGTTAAAACTGGTTCGCTCAGACTTTTGAAAGACGATGAGATCTCCCATATCTAGGCTTCAAAAATCCACAACCCTACTAGATGGTTATAGAGATATGGAAAAACTAATTCATTGTGCGACATCTAGCAGTTGTCTGAATTTTTGCAGCAAGCCTAATTGAGTTGTTTCTCCACGTGATGTATTTGGTGACTGGTATTCTTAATAAATGGCATTCTTTCTTTTATTGGTCTTTGGAGCCACTTTGAGGATTTTATGGAAAAATACAAATGCAAAAGTAAAAAATATTCTTACTGGAAGAGAGATCCATGTGTGAAGATCAATGCTGGTTGAGGGAAGAAGCCCCAGGTGGGAAATAAGGGTGACTTGAACTCCGGGTAAACGGTCAGAGAGCTGGAAAAAGAAGAGCAAGTGTGACTCTAAATACATTTTCAACCAGTCCTTGTAGCAGTGCCTTAAGAAGCATATATTACTTAAATAGAGGACGGTATGATTATTGGGTGACTGAGACCTATCACTCCAAGAATTTTGAACCAGAACATCTCCTTTCAGCTGGATTCCTGAGGGAGATGTGATAAATGCAGAGGGCAGAGGCTTCAAGGGGTCTCCAACGGTCAACCCAAAGGAGAAATTTTGAGTGATAAGGACATGTGACACTGAAGCTCTGGGTCTTTAGTCAAGGTTATCTTCCAAGAGTCAGTATCTGGTTTAAATAACAGTGACGGCTACACGTATTTGTAAAGAGTAAAGCATGAATTGAAGGTGAAGCACTGCTTTATGAACAGCAAGCTTGTTTTGTATTCAATGCAGAGAAAAGCAAATCTCAGCTGCTCTTTTCAAATTGAACAATATAAGTTGGCTTCTAAGTCTCATTCACTGAGTCTGCCTGTATTCTCCCACATTCCACATTACTAATTTCCAGTTATTAATTTCACATTACAAAACAGAAAATTTTCAGATTTGGAAAAGATTTGGAAGCAGCAGAAAGAAATAGATAAAGAAATGTGAGGAAGAAAAGGAAAAAAAAGGGGGGGTAGGAAAAAGAAACAGAAAAGAAGAAAAGAACAACTTCTGACTTTCTTTGGCACAGTTATACGTAAGATATTACATTAACTTCTTACCCTAGTAATATCAATAAAACACAACATTTCTATAGCAAAAACAATTCTAAATAG